AGTTCTCTGGAACAGAGACAATCCTACCAAAGCAGCAGCTATCCAAAATATCCCTAGGGAAAAACTCCTAGACCTGACCGCCATTTGAGATCTTCAATCCAAAAATCCAGTGGCTGCTGTGCACCTGGGTCCCCATTTGGGTGCACACTAGGGTGGAAATAGCCCTGGGTGCTGTGGCATTTTGTTCTTCAAGCAGCTGCTTGCTCTGTCTTGCTCATAACATAACGCTCTGCTTCCCTAAATCTAGATTTTTGTAGGGAAGAGAGAAATGAGGGGGAGAAAAGGTGGAGATATAAAGTACAGCTGGGCAGATTAGGCTGCAAAGGAATTAGGGACTTAATGATGCTTTAGCAGCCTGAAATCTGCCAGTCCAGAGATGAAACTTGTAAGACGCTCTTGGCAAGCCCTGGGAAAAGACAGCCTGTCGAGCCAATGCCACCTGCTGGAGACAGCACTTGGACACCAAGATTCATGGCACCAGCTAAATTCCTGGTTTTTAGTCATCAGTGTACCTAAAATCCCTCTTCTGAAGCTTGAAAACCTGAGCCCATGTCTATCAGAGCAGAGACCTCAGGAACCCACAAGCACAGCCCCTCTGCCATCCCCAGGAATGTTTAGTTTCTCCCACATTCCCTGTCTCCTTTCTTCCATTTGCCTTATCTGGCAGGTAATTATCCTTGCAGTGGTAATTGCTGCAGGAGCCATATGGGATGCATAAGCTGCTAATGCTGGGGGATTTTTTACAAATAATCATAAGACCTGTACATCATTGTTGCTGATATTGGCACAATTATCCCTGGTGTAAAAAGCAGCCAAAATTGCCAAAATAAGTTGCAGAAATGGTTGCATCAGCACAGACATGAAGAAAAAGTTATCATTTCTGAAATCTTAGGGGGTTTTAATTGAGAGGAAATTGTATGAGAGAGCTACAGAATAAACCCAAACCTACAGGGAGGGCAAGAGGAGGGAAGGGAAGCTTCAGTGTGGACACCACCCCACTGGGATTTGGGAAGCAGCTGCCGACAATGCGGCAGATCCAGGGGGACTCAGCACTTCCCTGTGCGTGTACATGGTGCTTATCTAATAAGCCATTTCTTGAGCTCCAGTGATACTGCTACTTATATCATAAATTCAATGATCTTCACTTTACTGGCCATTAATCTGCTCCTTTTCCTGACAATTTTATACTCTTTTGATAAACTGTTTGTCTAACTGTGTGGAAGAAACAATGTCAAGAGCTGTACCTTAGGCGTTCGCCCAGCTAATGAAGAAAATCCATCACAAGGAGAGTTTATCTATTGCTTTTCTGGATGTAAATAAAACATCAGGCTAATTTACTTCCATTAATCTCAAAGACTGTGGCTACAACAATAATCCTATGTCAGAGTAGACTTTTTCCCCCTTTTTCGCATAAATATTTAAGCAAGTACTGAAAGAATAAATAAATTGCTTTCTAAAAGCCAGATTATTTTTATATACAGAGATTTAACAATGAATTTGGATTTATTTGCTAGCTCATGCCTTTCAGGCAGCAGTCAGCCCACGCTTCCCCTGTGCAGCACGGGGATGCTTGGGTGGGTTTTGCAGAACATCTCTGGGGGCTCTCTGAGTGTCACCTGTGACACCCCACCCTTAAGGGGAAGGAAGCACAAGGGTGGCTCATCGTCTCACCTCCAAGTGCCACCCCACTGGTGTCACCCCTGCCACTGGGTGGGTTCCGTGAGTGCTGGGGCTGCTCTGCGAGTCCACAGGGGGCTGCAGAAAAGACTACTTAGTGTCCAGCTCAAGAAGTGGCCCTTAAGTGCAGCAAATTGGCATTTAGTTTATGGAGGGTGAGGCCAGCAAAGCACTGGAGCAGGCTGCTGGGGGTGCCAGGGATCACCAGCTTTGGGGGGTGAAGATCAGGCTGCACAGGAGCAGTGACACAGTGCGTGTTTGCACATGTGAGTGCATGTGCTCGGCAGGTCGGAGCCAATCTGGCCCTGCCTTCCCAGCCCCAGCCCTGTTTCCTGCCAGCTGAAAGGCTGTGCACAGCAGAGAGCTGCGGCACACGGCTCGTGTTGCTCGGATCACTGCAGAATGAAGCACTTCCCTCCTGCTGGAGCTCCGTGGAGGTGTGTGCCCGTGCTCCCAAACGCTGTTCCAAGCACATTCCAAGGTGCCAAGGGTGAGCAGGAGGGTGCTGCAGGGATACCCCCTGTCAAGGAGCTCTTGTCTCTCCACTGGATTTTCCCTTGCTTAGCTGCTGCTGCCTTCTTAAAGACAGAGCCGTCCTGCAGCCAGCATGAACCACCTTATTTTGCGACCACACCCCAACACGACCTGTGATGATGTGCAGTAAAATTTGGTGAAACAGCATCCCTGCTCAGATGAAATCTAGCTTGTCAAGTATGGCCCCACAGGAATATTTCCAACTATAAAGTAGTTATTACAACCATAACAGTAAGTCTGTCATAGGGAATACAACACACTGATAGCTGGAGCAAACCAAACCCAACACGACAGGGTAAAGGCTGGCACAAGCAGGGCACAGGATCTCTCTGAACAGCCATGACTGCAGTTCAGAGCCTGTGCTGGTTACATAGGCAAGCCCATGGAAAAATGGACTAATTAAAGAAGATGAATGATCAGTCTCAGCAAGATCTTGGCTTTTGCTTCTCTCATTTATCCATACAGGGCTCTTTGTTAAATCACGAGGGGTTTTTATTCACATGTATAACTGCTTACAGATGTTCCCACATGTGTTTAGCCAGCAAACTCACATTGCAACTAAAGAAATGCAAAAAAACCCCACTACCTTGTGCAATGTTAAGGTAGAGCAGATGCAACCAGAGGCAAGGCAAAAGCTGCTGGTCCAGCTCAGCAATGTCCACAGCTTTGGCCACTGCACAGAACCCCACCTGTCTCTTGATTCTCACTGAGAACTTGGCTTAAATGGAATGAAAACCTCTCCTTTGATGAAGTTTCTCACTTCAGTGAGATAAAGCAAAACTCTGACTGATGCTGTACATCATAACTAATGCTCTTGTTACCTCACATTTTTCCCAGCATATTTTTTTGATTTAATTTTGTTACATTTAGTATCCTTTATTCCTACACAGCCATGCCTGGGTATGGCTTTTCATAGGACCCAGGATGAGTTATGTTGCTCTCTTTCAAGCTCACAAGCTAAGCTCACCTCCCAGTAATAAATCCTCATGATTCAGGCTTTAGCAGGGTTTCCATGACTGTCATCCATCTCATGGCACAGCAAATAGGGTGATAATTCACAGGGTGGAGAGAGTGTTGGGGGAAAGGCCCTCCCTGGCTAATTGGAGGGCAAGACTCCAGGAACAAGCTGATGGCACTTTGGATGCTGCTGTGCCTGTGATGCTGAGTGCTGATGCTTCCTGAGAGCACTTGTGCTTGCTTGTTGATTCATGTCACCCACGTCTCGCTTCACCCTCTCTTCAGCAAGAGGGAAAAGGGGGGAAAAAGGCAATTGCCTGTGCTTATCAGCATGGGTGTTAAAGCAGACTCTCAAACTGACATAGTGCTGGGAAGGATGGAGCAGGGAAAGTATGCACAGCCAGCTTTTCCTCTCCCACTGCATGGGTGGCCATGTTCTCCAAACCTATTGCAATGGGGCAGCTGTACCATGGTGCAGCTGGGTGCCAATGCCAGTTTCACTGAGACTTTCCAAAGGCACAAGTGAATTGGGAGTGCCTGGAGCAATAGATGCTCTGCCTGTAACACTGGAGAAATGGAGGCCTTTAAAAAGCCTTCTGGTGGCAAACCATAAACCCACAGGCCAGGAACTGACTGCTCCAGGCAAACACTGCCTGCATGCCTCAGCTGGGAAACACACTGTGGGGAATGATGGAGCCCATCCCTGCATCTCTTTTCCTCCTGTTCATTTTGATTTTGAATTATCTCTCAGCCCTGACACTTGAGGAGCTACCTAGCTGGGATGCTGCTGTGCTTCATCAGAATGGGCTGCTGGGAAAGAGCCTGAGGGGTGACAGGAACAGGATGGGCTCTGCCGGAGGTGCCAGCGCGCTCAGAAAGCATTTTGCACTCGACTGCCTTCTGCTAAAATAGCTTGGCATTTTTGTTAAAACATATTTCTGCAAGCCTGGGGAAGAGTTACATGCAGTCATGCCCAGGAGAGCAGCCAGGAGTGCTTTTCAGAAGTGGGGTAGTTTTGCCTTTAATCCCCTGACAGTGAAGGCAAAGAGTAAAGGAGAGATTTAAATCTTCAAATCCGACATTGAGAGCATTGGCAGCAGCCCAGGTGCACCAGGGCACGTGCATGGACCACGGCTTATGGCACACAGCACGTGGCTCTCACTGGGGATGGTACCATGGGCTATGTGAGGGCAGCTGCTGCTCAGTGCTGCTGAGCTTCAAGGTCCTGCCTAATCTCAGCTCCAGGCAGAGGCTGACAGTTTCCCAGGCACATATTACCTCTTCTGCAGGGGGAAAGGCAGAGCTCAGCTCTAGTGTCTTGTCTTTGTTTAATCCACTTAGAAAGCTCCCCTCTGCTTTTCCCCTGCCTCTCTGTCCAGGATGTTTTATAAATAGCAAAGGTATAATCAAAAAGTCATGGAAAGGCTGCCAGTGACTTCCTCCACAGCTTCTTTAACTCTTAACTCCGGGGTCCCTGTCAGCTGTTCAACTGTCCAAGACTCCAGTTTCCATAGTTGCTGTTTGTGTGTTTGTGTGATCCAAAAAATCTCATGGATGTGCCCTTCCTTTGAAAATCCATGCTGAGACCATAATTTGATGACTGTTGCCTTTCTCAAGCAGTCGTGGCTTGTCTTAGGAGACATCTCCTCTCCATGTTTCCTACCCCCCTGTGGTACCATCTGCTTTTCCAGGTCATCCTACAAGGTGAGGGGAAACACCTTGTGGAGAGCCAAGCTCCAGAGTGGAGCCTCATAAGGTCCATGCCGAGGGCAAGAGGGACATCCACGGCTGCTGGGATGTGCAGGGACACCGTGAGCCAGCTGGAGGGTGGCTCAGCGCGGCGAGTCCTCGAACACCGTCAGGTTGTGCTCCTGGATGTGGCGGAGCAGGATCTGTGCCCTCCTGTCAATGGTGTGGAGCAGGGGTCTCAGCCCCTCGGCGCCCCCCTGGCTCTCCCAGAGCTCCCGGTCCAGGCGCAGGGACTGCAGCAGCAGGCTCTGCAATCTGCCCGACCGCAGCCTGGCCACCGCCGCCGCTGGGAAGCTGCAGGGAGGAGCAGAGGAGACAGGGAGAGAAGGGGTTATCCAGGGAAAGCTGAGCAGCAGGGCACTGGAGCAACGATGCTTCAAGAGAAAATGCTCATGCAGGACAAGGAGCCTTCTGCTTAAAACTCTGCCCATGGTGAGCATGCAGGATAGCTCCATCAGACACAGACCCAAGCAAATTCCAAATCAAGAGGCCTCCAGCATGCCAAAATGCCTCATGGGCAATGGCGCAAGAAATGCTGAAATACCTGATTATTCATTATTTTTGTGCAGCTGCCAATTAAAGAGGGGAAATAGGCTTTGGAGCCTGCCATCAGCCACCCAGAGCAGAATAAAGAGTTAGTTTCAGGGCAGGGGCACGTGGGATGTTTTTGAGAGCCCAACCACCCACCCTGTTCTGGGAACATCCAGAACATCCATCCCCATTCAGAGGGATGCCCCATCAGGGAGGCCAGAAGCAGCAAGAAGGTGAGCACACACAGGGCTGCTGGACATCCCCTGTGTGGCAGCTCAGCCCTTGCTCAGCTCATGCACATTCTTACCTGCCTATGCCTTGCAGGAGCCTGAAGTTGAGCTTCTCCTCGGGGTGCTGCAGCCTGCCCGCGTTGTCGATGAACACCAGGCGGGACGGCGCGCTCCTCCGGACCTGCCAGCAGGATGGCAAGGAGTTCACCCAGTGCAGAGTCACCAGTGTGGGGGTTTAGGCTGCTTTTTAATGCAGTGAGAAAGCCTGAGTGTATTTGGGGGAATGTGGATGCCAATGTCTATGTCCCTCCATACCTCTGCATACCTCCCAGCCAGGACCCAGCATCACCATGGGATCTACATTCCCTTTGCTACCACCTCAGCCCTGCAAATGCCTCCCAGGCACCCCCCAGAGGTGTTAGCCCCAGAGCAGCCCTTGGACAGCAGGGAGGCATACCAGGATGTGGACCAGGACCAGCTCTGCTGGATTCCGGCACTTCTCGTGGAGCATCTCCTCCACGCAGGGCTCAGAGGGATCAGGCTGAAACCCACAGCAGTAGCGGTCCAGGCGGTCATGGACCTGCAGGAGACATTGGGGGACCTTAACAGGAACATGTGCCAGGGATGGGGAGGTGCTGTTGTGAGCTGTTCTTGTAGAGAGGAAAATGAAACATTTCTAGGGATCCTCAGGAGACGTGCAATGGAAAAGCTGCGCACAGTGGTGAGTGAGAGGAGTGGAAGCACACATGCAAAACCCCTTTGGCATGAAGAAGGTGATGAAAAAGGTGATGGTGACAGGCTTTTCTGATGGAGCTCAGACACCTGGTACCTCCACATTCTGTATCTGCACAGACTGAAGGGGTTGTGCTTCCAGCTGAAATGAAGGCGTACACAATGATCAATGAATTAAAAAAAACCAACAAAGCATCCAAGGAAACCTAGAGTCTGAAACCTCAAAAAATAATTTATTTTTCCCAGTCCTGGTGCTCTGTATGACAGTTTCATCTGCTTCCTGTCACATATGCAACCTTTCATCCATCCCTACAGTAACCTGAGCAGCTCTCAATGGAAAGATAAATGGAAAAGTATTGGTAAGGGAAAAAGCAGTCTGTGAATATGCAGAGCATGCCTGACATTTAAGTTGGGCCACAGTGACTTGTTTCAGCTACATTTGTGTTTAATCATTTGCAGGTGCTGCTAAGGCTCCATGTTGCTCCTGCTTAAGCCCAGGCTGTCAAACATCCTGCTTCCCATCCCGGTTCCCTGCAGAAACACTGGAGCTGCTTGACAACTTCCAGTGTTTTGACCACACCCTTGGAGGAATGAAGGGCTTTTAAAAGACATAAATCTCTGCCAGACTTGGCCGCAGTATTTATGGAGCTTCCTCAGCTTTTTCAGAAGCAGCTGGTACATCCTCTGTGGTGATTTGTGGGGCAGACAGGACCTTAGCTGTCAACACACCTCCCCAGAGCTGTGTGTTCCCATGACCCTGTAGGGGAGCTGCCTCACCTCCTCCTGATCTCAAGGCCTGTTTACAAAAAAACCCCCATGTATATATATGAAATATATGAAAAATATGAAATATATATGAAATATATGAAAATATGTATAAAGTACAAAATAAATCTATTTTCTGGTTGCAGCATGAAAATGTCCTACTTGCTGATTTGCTTGGCATTGCTGGTGCTGGCCCAGGAGGCAGGGCTCGAGGTGCAGAGAGGCTCCTGGAGCCACTGGGAGGGCTGGAGCAGGTCTCAGGTGATCCAGAAGGGATCTGCAAGTGACAATGAGAGAGAAGCCAAGGGACCCAGAGAGGCTGCCTATTCCCTTTACCCTGGTAATTAGCACAAGTTACCAATTACAGGCTGTGCTTTGCCACAGAGCTCAGTCTGAACCCAAACACTGACCAAGCACTGGAGAAGATGCTGCAGGGAAACACAAATTGTGATCTCCGTAGCCATTCCATTCCCTTTGAGAAGAAGGATTAGTCCCACACTGGAGCTTCTCAAACCTCTCTGTTTTCTGAGGTTTAATGAAGAACTCAGGTCAGTATTCCTCCATTGGGAGACATTCCAGTAAAAAAGTACTCAAGCCTCTTGTCACAAAACACATGGAAACAGAAGAAATATCACATTTCCTCCTCACATCTCCTGCTAGAGAGCTCAGCACGCCAGTCTCTCTCACCTGATATGTTGTTTTGCAGGCTGCACAGAAGGTGAAGACAACCTGAGAGAACTTACAGAGACATTAAATGGGCTCAGCACTCCACTCACCCACCCCCAAGCACCTGTGAAACCAGGGTGGGTTGGTGCTGAACCCGCAGGGGTGCGAGGTGGAGCCAGATCTGGTGTCCAAGTGGAGCCCCAGGAGAGGGACCAGATGGCTGTGGAGATGCTGAGAGTGCCCTGACATGCTGACAAGCCCGCCCTCCCCTGGCCCTCCCCTGATTTTCTGGTATTAATTTCTTCTTTCCGAAGCCTAAACAGCTCGAATTCATGGGAATTTTGGTATTATTGCTAGGATACAAATACATGAGCCACACCTTCTCCCATCCAAGCTCAAACACTACCAGAAGCTCACCTTCAGCCCCTCTTATGCCCACCCTGGGACATCCCCTCGCATGTGATAGGTTTTTCCAGCTATGATTCAGCCTGGGATTGCTTCCCCTAGGGAAATTTTTATTGCTCTCCCCCTGGCTGGGAAGAGGGTGTCCCAGGGCAGGGATGTGGCTGCAGAGTTCATTTAGATTTGGCTGTGTTTAAGTGCAGGACAAAACCATCAGCAGCTGCCCCTTTTCTACCAGGCTTGGCATTTTGACCCCACTAAAACTTTGCACATAGTGGGTGGTTCCCTTATGGTAAATACCAAGAGAAATTAACGTCAAAGAAGCCAAAATTTAAGAGAAATTGAAGAAAACTACCAAGATTTCAATGCCAATGTACAACAGGGCTCAAAGCTCACCAACTTCTCCTTCCCCAGTAATGGCAGGAGATGCTAAAGCCATTTCTGAAAGATGCTACTCCACTTCTACAATATCCTCTTTATGTGACTTGTTCTGCATGGGAGGATTCTATTCGAATTATTGAGGAGAACCTATGGATTGCCCTTGAATTTATCATTGCACTGCTTCAGCCCTTGAGGAGGAACTCTCCTTAGAACTAGATACTTTCTCCTGCAGTCTCAGCCTTTCCACTGCACTCAGCGGTGTTTTGGCCTGGGGAAGGGAAGGGGGTTCGTTAATCTTCTCATTTCTCTGGTTGTTTCAGCTAAAATATTTTCAAGCCCAGCCAGAACAGCTCCACCTCTGCCAGCCACAGTTGTAAAAAAAGAGAGAGTAAGGAAAACATATTTTAGTAGTTTGAGGGTTTTTTATTTCTTCCCTTTTTTATTTGTATTAATACTTGTCCTTTCAGGCAGTTTTCTCTTGTCTGATAAACAGCCCCCAGGTGCCTAAACAGGCTTTCTTTTTCTCCACAGAAATCACTTTTGCCTCCTCACAGCTGCCCTCCAAGACCTGATAACTCTCTGGGATACTGTTGTAATCCCTCATAGCGGCAGGGTGTGATTTTCCAGACAGAAGATTAAGTGCTATTAATGCTGAGGAGGAGGAAGGCAGTGCTGTCCAAGGCATGGCTCCTTATTTCCAATGCCTGCAGCACATCCCTGAGTTTGGATGTGATGGGGCTGGTGCAAGACATGCTGCTTATCCCTAGGGATGCCCTAGGGATGTCTCTAGGGGTGTCCCAAGCCTCTGCCAGCACAAAATGAACAGCAGAAAGCTCTCCCACATGAGCATTGACTCACCACAACTTGCCTGGCAAGTGCCAAACATGAGCCATACTCAGGCCAAAGTACTTCTGCACAAAGTTCTGCTGCTCCTCAAGAGTGAAAATACATCCCAAGAAACCACAGCTGATGTGACCCCTCAGAGCAGAAGGAGATCATGGTCAGACAATAGAGGTGCAGGTGCAGGGGAACCTGGGTGCCACAGCTGATGGGACAGGTGGCCTCAACCACCACAGCCCTACCTGGAGAAGAAAGTCAAAGAGGGCTAGGCGGCTCCACTCGCTGTGTGGGATGCTGGAGCAGGGAGCATCCCTGGCCACCGGTATCGGTCTGTGGGGCTGCAGCATCTCCTGGTACTGCAGCCATCCCAGGGCACAGGAGTTCTGGTCATTGTTGGCATCCTGCAGGTGCTGGAGGTCAGGAGCCCACCAGATGATGGGCCGCAGGGCGCCGTCGGTGTAGCTGTAGGGCAGGAGGCGGCTGCTGAAGCGCCGGGCCACGGCGGGCAGGCTGCGGTTCAGCCCCAGCACCCTGTCCAGGTGGAAGGCCAGCACCTCGTACAGGTCCCCGGGGCGCTTGATGAGCCCACAGCGCCCATCCCGGCACTCTCCTTCCGGGCTGGCTGGCAAGACATCCCCCTTGGCATCTCCCTTGGCATCTCCCGCGGCACGCAGCCTCACTCGCATGATTTGCCCATGGGCAGGGACGCGGGTTTTGGAGACCACCTGCCCGCTGGACAGCAGCCACATCTTCTGGAGGTCGTCAGCAGAGAGCCAAGGGGGAAGGTGGGGAATGTCCCTCTCCAGCCCCCGCCGCCTCCTGCCCCAGCCAGGGGCCTGCTCCTGCTGCAGGCGAGTGCGGGGCACGGGGAGCCTTCTTCTGTGGGCCTGTCCTCCAGACAGGGGGGCAGCCACCTCCCTCGGGGGCCCTGGGGGAGCCGAGGCCGGCAGCGGGAGCAGGGAGTGCTCCGGGGCTGGGGGCAGGTGGATGAGAGCCAGCAGGGCCAGGGCCAGCAGCGCCCCGACAGCTTCTGGGGCCGGGGGCTTCATCCCCATCCTTCGCCAGGGTCGCTGGGCCTGCGGGGACACAAAGGGGAGAGAATGATGCTGGAGTGGCACTGCAGGCAGAGCCCTCCGTAGGGCTTGCTTTAGGGAAGCAGCCCCTCTGCTTGTGTGGTCCCTGCAAGAGGATCACACTGTGGCAACAGGGTTATTTGCTTTATTTGCTGGTGCCTTGATTTGTGCCAGAAATTAGCTGCAGTCCCTTCAGAAGCAAATCAGAGCAAGGGCTCACTCCCCACCCAGAGGTTGCCATATCTGCAGCTCTGAGGTACAGGATGACCTTATGGGCAATGAATTTTTCATGGTCAAATATTTTGCTTTAAAGACTCAAGAAATGGAGAAAAAAAAAAAAAAAGACCAAACTAGAGCAAATTCCTGTCTAGATGTGAACACTTTCCAGTTCCTAAGAGGTTTTATTTTTCAGACCTTGCTCTGGGCACTGTCACTGGTTCCTATTCTGGTTGCACACTGAACCCATAACTTGGATATCTCAATGTGTGCTGAGACAAGGCCTCTGGAGCTCTGCCCATCATTGTATCCAGCAAAAGCAAGGCAGCTCCAAGTGTCAGTCAGGACATGTTTTAAACAAAAGGGTGCAAACTCCTGGAGGAGTTTGGGACACCTCTCCTGTGAAGACAGGCTGAGAGAACTGGGATTATTCATATTAGAGAAGAGAAGGCTCTGGGGAGAATTTACAGCACCTTCTTGTGCCTAAAGGGGCCCACAAGAGAGCTGGAGAGGAATTTTTTACAAGTGAGGACAGGACAAGGGAAAAGGACTTTAAACTGAAAGAGAGGTTCAGATTAGACATTAGAAAAAATTCTCCACGGTGAGAGTGTTGAGGCATTGGAACAAGTTGCTCAGATAAGCTGTGGAGGCCCCATCTCTGGCAGATGGCAGACATTCTCCAAGCCAATCCAGTCCCTGGGCCACGCTGCACCCATGCCTCATTCACTCGGGTTTGGGCAGCCTCACACACTTCAGGAGGCAAGAGCCACAAAAAGCACCTTGGCACCATTTCTCTGCTTTCAACAGGCATTTCCAAGCAGCTCAAACCCACACTGGAAGTCAAGGCGATGGTCAAGTGGATACGTTTTTTTCCAATTATTTATTTTGGAAGCACAAGCATATCCATGGCAGACACAGCAGGACAATATATTGCCAAAGAAGGGATAAGAGACTGTTTATAAGAGGAAAAGCTTGAAAAAAAAAAAGAGCAAAAAAGCTGGGGAGGTGAGAGCCAGCAGCCAGAATTACTTCCAGAAAGCAGCTGGGCAAGCAAAAGCATTTCCAGCTGTGGGGCTCTTAGGACCACAGGCTCCCAGTGACCACAGGGACCCACCACCAGCACAGCTCCTGCCCCATGAGCAGCTGCCCTAGGCAACCCCAGTGCATGAGCTTATGAGCTGACACAGCAGAGTCCTAAAATCCATCAGGTTTCATGTCCTCAGCTGCTTTAGGCAGTCCCCTGGTGAGGAGCCACATCCCTTGCAAAGACACTGCATCAGCTGAGGTGGGTAAGAGGAGCCACCGACTCACTGGCCTCAGCCCCAGTTTCTTCCTTGCCTCCCTTTCAAGGACTGAGCAGATTTAATGCAGTTTATAAGAGCTATTGATGGTGCACTTGGAGTGATTCAGCTTTATAGCTCCCACTTAATTGCTTCTCTCCCAGAAACACAATGTAGTGCAGCAAAATATATCTGCTGGGCTGAATGCTCTTTTTCAGACAGGGTTTACACCAGTCTCTGCCAGGAACCAGGGGCTGCCTGGTACAGCTTTTGGGACCTGCCAGGGGACCTCTGCTTTATCTCTTCCCAGAGTGGAAAGGACCTAGTCCAGGGTGAGACTGTCCAGAGAGGGATGTCCTCTCCTAGACCACCAGCAGGGTTATTCAAGGCTTGGCATTAACTGTCCCAGGCATCAAACTAGACAGCTAAATCATTGTCCTAGGTGCCTCTCTGGGGAGGGGATGAGCATGAGTACCCCTAAGCACTCTGAGGGGCAGCAGGACTTCTGTCAAGAGGCTGGTTGTGATCCCAGCTCTCTCCCACTTGAATGGGATAATGATTTGCTGTGGAATGACAGCCAATGCCAAGTGACACAAGCAACACCCAAGCTCAGCCACTCAAAACCTTCATGCCCCAGATTTCAAGCAAATTCTGCAGAGTGCAGACACACATTCTTTCCCAAACACCTGCAATCCATGTCTGGCCTCCTGAGCAAGAGTTTAGGGGAGGTGCAATGTCTAAATCCTAGTTTAAGCATAGTAAAATAACTCTGTGGCATATAAAGGGCTGATGCTGGTATCCTGATATCCACACTCCTTTCTAATCATCACTGTAAGTGCCTCACAGTCTGTTCCTCTGGCCTCAAAGTATGCTGAATTAACAGCAGTGATATCTATGGCATCAATCCTAAAGGATAGGGCTAATTGTAAATCTCAGTATTCCCATCTGCATCGAGCCAAGTCCCTTCCCAATCTGTGCTTTCTTGGGCATGTTTTCCCAGCACCTCCCCTGTCCCACCCTTCTGGAGAGACACAGCCCATCCCACTCTCACCAAAACCCCTGTGACCCTTTTCTTCAGCACAGAGGATTTTCAGGGGAATTTTTTTATTATCCAGCTGATAATAACCCTCTGGTTGCTTATACCATCTCTGGGTATCTAAAAAACCTGTCTGCCAAAAGTTCCAGTATCCTGGGGGAGGAATGCATGTGGCAGCCACATGGAGAACCTTCAAAGCACTGCAGGAAAAATCCTTTTTAACCCACAGCCAGAGAACAGAGTATGCCAAAAGGATGGCAACAATTGCTGGGTTTTTAATGTCAAGTCAGTTTACAGTCCAAGTGGTTGAGGAATCATTATTGTCCAAACCCACTTTGTCTTCCTTGTCAGTGAGCTCGGGTTTGGGCATCACAAGTTAGAGCCCTTTGCTTTCCCACCCTGAACTCGAAACCCTGGGCTGTGAAGTTGGGCAAGGGCCAGCACAGGCTCCCTTCCCCAGTGCTGTTCAGGGTTTCCCTGCCACATCAACAACAAAAAGAAACAAAAAAGGTGCAAGTACAATCTCTCTGTTATTTCTGGTAGTTGATATTGGAAATTTAATAAAAACCTGGGTGATTGATAAAACATTGCAGAAATAATACTGTATTTACAAGCCCTGGGTAAATACTTTTCCAAAGAGTCTTTCTCTGAGCCCATGCTGTAAAAAATGCTGCAGTTTAAGCTGTGGCTTCGATTCAGCCTGAAATGCAAACCATACGTACAGCTCTGCTTTGCCAGGCTGACATACTGACAGTACAGCATGTCTTTGCCAGAAATTAGGTCCTTTTCCCAGCAGGCAAAATCCATAAAAAGGCTTAAGAGAGGTACTACTTGTTCCAGGATGCCAATAAGTAAATAATATATATTCTCACTCATCAGAGGGACACACAGCACAGCCCAGGCTCTGAAGGCATAGTGGAAAGCTGTGCAGCTTTGATGCTAGGAGATAAAACTTTCTAAGTCTAGTTGGGGGTGAGGTGGGGGAGGGTTATCCTTGACATTGTATTCCCAAGACGCTTGAACCTTGGCAGAATTTGAAGCAGAGAAGCCTGTTTTCAATTTCTTTTCAAAGTGCATCAAATTGGCTTTGTCGAGCTTGAAAGAAAAGAAAAACAAACCCCAAACTTCATTATCCAAGAATGTAAGAAACAGCCCGGAGACTAGAAAGACAACACGGAAATACGTGGCTGTTGAAAATTGGATTGATTCCTGCTTTCCTCTGCCATGCAAAAGAGTCCTCCTGCCCCTGCACTGGCACTGCAAGATGCCTCCAGCAGTAAATCCCACTGTCCCAAAGAAGTGCTCAAAGGAGCCAGGGTGGCTCAGCCATGGCCACGTCACTCTTGGCCACCTGCCTGCCCTAGACTCCCAAGCTCAGAGGACTTTGCTGATGAGCAGGTTAAAGGCAGGCCCATGCATTTCTCCGGGAGCACCCTGAGTGGGGTGCACCCTGCACAGGGGGTGCAGCACACAGGGCTCTGCTCACCCTCCCAGCCCCGCGCCCGCTGCCCGCCCAATGAACCGCAAAACCGCCTGGGCAGCAGGAGGTGCAGCCTGCCGTGACCAGCTTTAACAAAGACTGCCTGAAAAACAAGTGGGAAACCTCCTCTGCCTGCCCCCCACCTCTGGGAATGTCTCCAGAGCCTTGCACCCACACATGGTGCTTGCAGCAGCTCCCGGTGCAATGGCAGAGCGGGCACATCAATCAGACCTGGGATTGGATCAGCCTCTTCATATTGTGCAGGAGGTTTTGGTTTGTTAAGGGCATGGCTTGTGAGCTGGAGACCTATAAGCATGCAGAGGACATGGAAGGAGACAAAACTTCTTCATGCCCAGAGTGACTCCAGGCAAGTCTGAGCAGAAGGAAATGCTTGGCAGCATCCGTGGTCCATCATTCAAGTGCATAAATGCCTTCCTATATTATCCTGCTCAGGGAAAATGGATGGCTGGCAGAGTGGGAATTTAAAGACTGCTATTAAATGATGATTGCCAGTCCCAAAGGTAACTCTGGCTCAGAGTGGCTCCCCAGGAGGGCAGGTCTGCTGTGCTCCCCCAGCATATAGAGACGGTGCCACCACCAACACTTGCCTGCAACCACATGGCCATGGGGCATGAAGAATAGGACAGCCCTTCATCTGGCTCATGATCCATCAAAGTGGCTGCAATTCCTAGCAGACCCACACCAGCTTTGTGTCTGGGTTTTTTTCTCCCCAGATAAGAAGGGTTTTTTTCTCTCAAAAATGCCCTTCCAGAGGGGAGAACCATGACCCCACTGCATTTCTGCAGACACCCTGAAGACCACCCTGCTTGGCTCCAGGACAGGGATATGGAAGGTAGGCCATGCCCATCTGCTCAAAGTGCTCCTCCAGCCCCACTTCCACACAAGTGGCTTGGGAAGCTCAAGCCAGGCACTGAGAAGGTGGGAAAGGGGACTGCTCCCATAAAGCCTATGAAACAGAGTCACAGCAAACACTGGGTCAGCTGAAGCTGGGGAGGTGGAAATGTGACACATCACCACATGGTGCTGGGTCCTTCCCTCCCTGCAGAGTCAGCAAAGTCCTCAGAGCTGACACATAAACCTCCCCACCAACATGTCCAAAACCAAACCAGAAAATGACCGAGTTAAATTGCCTGGGATGAAACCTTAAAACATGCTGTACTTTGCTAAATTTTGGACCGCCTGCAAATTTTCTGGGATCATTTATAGCCTAAGTGCAAGACAAGCGTGCTTTGCACTAGCAGAGGGCAGCACTCTGGCAGCAGCATAAATGGATCAAACAGTGTTGGCCCTGTTCAGTCTGAGCACTGACTTCAAAGGGATGCTGCCAACACACCACCTTTAATTTCTCAAATAATGTTGCCTTCACAGCTCTTCCCAGTTATCACTACAGCCTTGGAGCAGCAAATTACAAAAACCTGGAAACCTTCAAGCTCCACAGCCTCTCTCTAGTAATAACCTGGCGTGTCCTTGGCTCCAGGCCCTGCATCAGCTCCTCGAGCTTTTTGCTTCCCAGGGATGAAATGTCCTGTTTCCTGCTCTAAACCTCCCACCCAGAGTGACTATTTCCAGTTTTTGGGAGGCTCCTTGCCCTGGAGGTTCTTCTCTGCACAGCCATAGGCTGAGCACAGCCCCTCTCACACATCCATCATCCAAAGAACGATTTTACACAAAATCTTCAGCCATAGATGCAAACTGCTCTGTTAACAGTGCTATTCCCATTGCACTGTCTGCTCCCAGTCGAGTTATGCACCAAAGTACAGCAGAAACACAGGCTTATAAACTCCTTGCCCTCTCCACGAGTAGCTTTGAGGAGTGGCAAGACTCCCAGCATCCCAAATGTCCTGCTCAGTATCTCTGAAGAAGGAAGACCTGAAGCAAGAGACAGAGGACACACCTTGAAGGACACATGGCCAGCACCTGGCTGGAGGACACCACACCATGGGGTGCAGCTGATGCACTCAAGGTCAGGGCTCCTGCTTGGGGGAACCCAGAGGGGACACACACCTTGTCCTGCACCTGGTGTGCACTAAAGCTCTGCAGGGTACCAGCAGGGACTTGCTTGTCCTGTGATGACACTGTCTTTACCCCAAAATCATGTGATTTTCACTGAGCAAAAGGAAAGATTCATAATTCTCCTCACTCCCATTGTGTAAATCTCATCTTGCAGACAGTTAATACTCAGCTCTGTGTGGGATGGACAGGGAGATTGTCATCCTGGTGCTATGTACAGTGCAGCTCAGGACCACTCTGGTTTCATCCCAGAAGTCACCACAAAGCACCACAGAAATAAACAGTCTCCAGGATGCCACACTTCTTCTGCTTAATGTAAGCAAACTAAAAGCTTTCAGATGCCTTATCTTTCTCCTATTTAAGTTCAGCCAGGGCTTTTACTGCAGACTCTTGCACCTAGCTGGATCTTCTACTTCTTGGAGACACATCTCTCAGGAGATTGATGGAAGTCTTTAAGAACACATCACTGAGATGCACAGGTCTGCTGTCATTTGCATGTGCAAACATCTCCCTTACTTTTCACCACTAAAAGTGACATCAACCTGCACCCAAATCATGCAGATCACTGAGGACCTGAAACAGCATCCCATGTTCACAGGGGACAGTGAGGACCTGGGCAGCCCTGAATGCACGACTGTCCTATTATCCTCAGGGGACAAGGCAGGTCCTCCTCTTCTTCCCTCCTCTCTCTCTGCTCATTCCTCCAACCCTCACACTTACATGAGAGCAGCACAACCTAGAAATTCCTGGCAGGGACGTCAAGGAGGGAAAGCAGCAGTTTTGGGAGGCTGTTGCTCCCTCCCTCCACCACTGCCGTGGAGCAGGCTCCTGCCAGGTTTCCCTTTTCCCCCTCCCCTCGTCCCAGTTTCCCGGCCAGCCTGCTGCACTCAGCTCTGTAAGTTTTCAGAGCAGCTTTCCCATCTGCCTGCTGAAGCAGCAAGCAGGGGGCCCCTTCCCCAGTGAAACAGATGTGGCTTGCCTTTGTGCAACATCTGTGCCTCATGCCCCGCTCATTTTGAACAGTCTTGTCTTTGTTTCTGAGAGCTTGGACGGGGGATGCTCTGGAGGAGGGCAGCAGCCCCTGGCCCGTGGGCTGGACTCCTTCCCTTCAAGTCCCACACACAAACTGCCTCCAGCCCTGAGTTTCTTCTGGGCAAGAAGAATGTGCTTTGTTCCTGTGGCATTCTGGAGCTGACAGTCCTGCTCCTCAGCAGGCTCCAGCCACAGACCTTACCTAGGAGCTGACTCCTTTGGCATGTCCAAACCCAGGGACATAAGAACTGGAATCTGGGAGCCATGGACTCCCTTCCTCGTGACTCCCCTCACCCCAGTACCTTCTCTTGCTGCATCTCTGGGCTGCTCACCAGCTCTGGTTTGGCATCCCCAGAGGGGCTGTGCTGCTGCAGCTCCTCTGCACATAACAGAGGCAAAGAGCAGAGGTGCTGGAAAACCACGTCCTTCTTGCAATGTGTTCTGGGCTGTATTTAATATGGGGAGGAATACATTACAATAAAATCACATTTTATTTCCTCCTCCTCTTGATGAGTTTGCCAATCCTGCTTGTGACTGCCTGGAATGCTGCTAAAGCTCTCACACATTTTGGCATTTGGTTTGGTTTTATTTATTTTATCGGGGGTCATGTTTTTCCTATATTTTGGGGAGGAGGGATTTTGATCCACTTATTTTCAGTTTTCAGCACCAGGAAACAGGAATGCTTGCTTGGTGCCCAGTGGGGGCTCACAAAACCCTCCTTGGGGTGTTGGCAAGGAGTAGCACTGGATTGATTCCCTTGTTGGAGTTTCAGTGGAGGTTGCCCAAGTCAGACAGTTGGGTTTCCCTGAGCTGACTGTCAGGTTTTTCCCCTTCCTGGAGAGCAGGAGAGTGCATTCGTGGGATTCCAAAGGGGAGGGAGAAGGAGGAGGACAGCGGGGCCTTTCAGCCCTGTGGGCTTTCTTCAAAACAGAATTGTTCATACCAGCCCCGGCCTCAGCTGCAGAAAGGCAACCTTATTTTCCTCCTGTTAAGCCATTACAGTTAAAAGATAAAAAAAAGGGGAAGAAATCTGCTTGCCACTTGGCTCTGAATGCTGCCTGTGTCCTGCGGACCCCATCCTGGGCAAAGCCTCCTGGCAGCCACCCCCAGCCTGCTTCTTCTCCTAGCAAAACCCATGGGGTGAGCAAGCAGAGCAAATGTAGTATAAGTGATGGTGCAGCCAGGCTCACAGGAAAGGGGCTTTTCCTTCAGGGCAAGGCAAGTAGCTGCAGGTGGAGTGGAGTTACTGAGCATTGGAAAAGAAGGGGTAATTGAGGCATTTGGAATTTATGCCAGAGGATTAGCACAGTGTAATCAGCCCCTCGTATTTAGAGTGCCTCATACTAGGCAAACGACAGCAACTGGAAACTACTCTCTGGCAGATTTTGAAGGCAGAAGAAAGAAGATGTTTCTGTAATGCAGTCATCCCCCAGCCTTCTCTCTGCGGCAGGTCGGGTGTGAGATCCAGCCAGAGCAAGCGTGCTCTCCATACCAACACAGAGCTCACAGCTGCCATCCCTCCGGCTTTCTGCAAGGGGGCACCCTCCTGGCGCTTTTGAACGAGTCAAAAACCATCTCGAGCATTTTGTTTGGGGTTTTGCTGCAAATGAACAACAAGAAGATCAGCTGGGCGCATAGCCTGGATTTATTCCTCATGACCACCACTGCCCTACCTACAGGTGCCCAGAGCAAATCCAGATTAGAGGTAAAATCAAGCAGTCAATGCAGGAGCTCACAAAGGGGAAAGCACTGCAGAAGCAGACCTTCCTTTGCCAAGGCAAAATGGAAATCCAGGCAAAAAGTGAATACCCCACTCTCGCATGGGAGACCACACCAGGTACCTGGCTTTGAAAGGCTGTACAGGCTTTGAAAGGCTTCTTAGTGAAGGCTTGTACAGAAAAATGTTAGTGCAGACAAAAGGCTGGTATGGGGAGAGTTGTCTTGCTTTTCCCTTTGACAGGGAGGAGTTATCTCCAAACCCAAAATGGGTGACATGAGCCCCAGCCTTGTAATTTTTTCCTGCTGCTGAAGTTCATTAATTAAGAAACCCAAAGCAGCCTATGCAAACTGCAGGATGGAAAGTGTAAAGCATGGCACTAGTGTCCCCTGTACACAAACACACGCACTCCAGTGAAGGCTGGCACAGCAGCACTGTCCCCAGAGATGCTCTGAGTCATCAGCACACTCTCGAGGACATAAAAATGGCCTCAGTGACACAAATGACCAGTTTCTGGCAGCAGCACCAAGCATCTCCTCAGCTCATCCATCACAGGTTTGCAATCCCTGCTCAACACAAGCTTGGCAAGGGCTGAGGTGGTGAAGCAGGGACAGAGCCCCCTGCCCCAGTGCAAACCCCCTGGCATGAGTTTGCATGAGTTTCCCTCAGTGCAAACTCCCTGGTGGGACAGGAGTAATGGGGCATGAGGGACCATCCCAGCTCAGCTGATGTGTGCTTGCTCAGATGGGTCTGCCAAGGGAGGTTCCAAACTGGAGCACTAAAACTAGATGACATGGAACACCACCCTAAGGTTTGGAACACGCTACAGATGCGGATAAACCTTCTGATGCTGGGGAAGCACAGCATTTCTTGGGAGGGAGGTGAAGTTTTCCCATGCCAAATTGGCTGATTTTGTGGCTTTTGGATGCAAGTGCTGTGCTTGGTCAGGAGCAAGCAGAAAGCACAGAGGGCTCTCCGTGATCTCTGTCTGCTCTCGGTGCTGCTCCCCACGCTGCTGGCTGCCTGAAGCGGTGCCACCTGGCCGCCTAAAAGAGGAGGGTTTTGGCTGGGGGACTGAAATCACCTCCCTGGCTGTCAGCAGAGCTTTAGCTACCGCAGCCCCGGGCGCTTCCCTCAGGGGCATCCTGACAATCTGCTCTGCCCATCCCTGGAGCATTCCTGCAATCTGCTCGGTCCATCCCAATGCTTTTAAGGACAGCAGTGCTGCAGCCCTTCCCCGCCTTGCTTGGCTCACCCTGCTCTGACCCTCCGAGCGAGCGGTCCCGCACAAGCTGCCCCCAGGATGGAGACATCAGGATGCACCTCACATCCCATGGGGCAAACCCAGCGTTGCTCCCCACCATCGGCTCAGCAAGGAGACCCCTAAATCCTACCATGTCTTGCAGCAGCAGCAGCAGCAGCCGACGCGCTCCTCCTCATGTGCTTCTCTGGGCACACAGTCACCTCCTGAGCCGGGTGCCGGCCGCGTGTGGCACTTCCATACCACACCAGGAACCCACACGGGACACAAAAACAAAAAAAAAATTAAAAATTAAAAAAATAAAATAAAATTATCCAGCAACGAATGAGCCCGCTTCCTCTCCCCAGGCCATCAATGCCAGGCGGGGGCTGTCACCCAGGGGTGCCCCTCCGGGCTGCCCACAGTCCCTGCTGCCCAGCTCCGCAGTGCTGGGCTCCTGTCACCACTCCCCCTGGGCGGGAGGACACCCTTCAAACTTCAGCTGTGAGTTTTCAAACTCTGCCTCATCCCAGACCCACCTCCCTGTGAGGAGGGGAGTGGAGAGGCTGGGAAGGGGGGAACAGGCATTTGAAAAGTCTCTTTTTCACAATAAAAGCCCTTCTTGCTGCTTTTTTGCTGGCTTTCTTTTTTTCAATACCAAGGGCAAATTTGAGCCAGAAGGAGATGAAGATTGTGCTCCTCGTGCTCCTCCCAAGCCCGTTTGTTCCCAGTGACTCCAGTGCCAGCCAAGTAGAGGGACCAGTAGAGCCCCAGGGGCCACACAGACCCCACAGCCAGGAAAGCAAACCAGAGGTCTGCACATGAGTGCCCAAGCAAATGCTCTTTGCAGGTCTTTTTTAGCATTTCTTTGCCTTTCAGTAATGATCCAGCAAAAAGCTGTGCCACATCAGTGCCTGGAGTGGACACAGACCTGGGAGAAGATTTATTATCTTCTTATTCATTATTATATTTATTCATTAAAAGTCATTAATGCATTAAAACCATTTCTAGGGTGCTCAGGCACCTGTTTTTCTGGGGCACACGGTGCCTGCAGGCAGCCAGGAGAGGGGCACAGGGGAAGAGGACCCTCAGCACCCGCAGCAGTGCAGACTGCAGCTTGCTGAGCCCTGCTGTGCCCAGTGCAGCTCCAGCACCCAGCACCTGGGCTAGGGTGAATCCCAGGAGCCTTTTCCTCAGGCCCCTGGGAGAAGAGGCTCTGGAGGCATTGCTTTGGAAAGCAGTGTGTTTCCAGAGCCCTCCATGGCCAGGCAGGATGCACAGGCAGCTGCCAGGCTGCAAAGCATTTCTTTTTCATAAAACTTTCCCCTTCCAGCTCTGAGGTGTGGCCAAGCAAAACCCATCAGTGCCTCACCATGGCAGGTGACAGTGCCAATTACTGCAGCCCTTCCCCAGCTTCAGCCCCAACCAGCCCAGACTGGGGACAGGACGACACCCTCTGTCTCAGGTGTGGGGGCTTTCCAGCTCCCTGACATGTGCAACTACCTCCTCCAGGAAACTATAAATCAAACCAGATTGATCAGCATTGTTCTTTACTGATATTTGTATTTTTAAAAAATCTGATCAAGGCACAGTACAGGCTGTTGTGAGCTATAATGAAGATATGGTGGTCTAAAAAGACAAGAGGATGAGGCTGAGGGAAACTGGGCCAAGTCACTTGACCAAGGCAGCACGGGAAGGTTGTGGCAGACCCAGGAGGAGGCTCCTGTGTCCCCAAGCCCCATTCCAGCTCACTGACCGTGCACAGTCCACAGTAACGTTTCACAAGGTGGAGCAACACGGTGGATGTAAACAATGAGGGCAACTCAGAGCTCTTGCCCAGTGTGCCCTTGTGCCAGTCCCAGTGCCCCAGGGCCTTCACTGAGTGCATCTTATTTTAATATGGTACATCTCCCTACCCCTTCCACTGCTACTCAAAACTATAGCTAAGAAAAGAAATGGTTTGAAGGTTACACACCAAAGCAGTGTGCCTGCTTTTGGCTTCATCACAGCCCACTCTATGCCATCCTTGGGCATGAGGAAGGGGTGCAGAAACCAAGCCCTGCATCCCCTCCTTGCTGCCACCACCAACCTCATTGAGCCCCGCCTGTCCTGGACACTGCAGCGTTGAACATCCCAAAACACCTCCCTTGAGGCCAGCTCCCTGGGGGCAGATAATAACCTAATACATCTAATACAATTAGCAACATGAAGTAATTAGCAATACCCACTGTTGGCCTTGGAACAAGGATGGCCTGTCCGAAAAGAGAGCGAGTGCCAGGGAAGGGATCTGCAGGGCTCTGGAGGCTGAACCCTGTGCATCACCACTCATCAGTGGCACCTCATTTCAGAAGCCTTTGCTTTCATCTCCCTTCCTTAATTTTGAAATTATTCCATTTATATGCAATTTTCTGTCAAAATGATTCCTGTCGGTGCAGCAGCACCGCAAACCTTGACTGACAGGCCGAGCTCTCTGGCTGGTCCCTCTGGATTGCCTCTCCCCACAAATAACACTTTAAAATGCACGCCTGACAGCTGAGGAATTTAACATCAGAAATAAGCTGGGATGGCTGCTGTGGCAGACATACTTAGGTGATCAGTGGCCAAACCAGTCAGGTAAATCTAGCAGGCCTTGAAACAAACATTATGATATTTCAAAAAATTTATTTCCCCCCTCCTTCCCCTGCTTTTTAATGGCATTCACCATGCAAAAATCAGATTTAAAAAGCAGACCTAAGAAGCAAGTGCATTGTAAACCAGTTTCCTGAGGAGGCCTCCCCAAATCCATAGGACTGTGATTACCTTGTACCTGATCTGGGTAGTGCTAAGCCCACCAGCACAGCCCCAGATCCCATAAGTAGCATCCCTGCTACCGCATCCTGGAAAATAAGTGAGTATGTGTGTTGTTTTGGAAAGACAGGAGTCTGCTAAGGAAGGCAGGAGCCTCCCCTGAAATGGAGAATGTAAACCCTCCCCACCCCTCTGAATTGCTATAAATTTTAAATTAAGGGGCTCTCAGGCAAAAATGTGGGAGCAGGAAATAACAGTTCTTTAACAGGGAAGAAAAAATAAAAGGATAAAATAAACAATGCAGTACACTAGAACAACACTGACAGAGTCAGAACCCAACCTGACACCCTGTGGGTCAGGGTGTTGGTTGCAGTCCAATTGCAATTGTGGCTGCAGGGCTCCTGGAGTGTCAGGTGTGGCTCTGTTGGAGCAGGGGGTCCTGTAGAGAAGGATGTATTCTTCCTCTGAAGATCCAGTGGAAGAAGAGGCAGCTGCTGTTCCTCTGGGGAATCCAGTGGAGAAAGCTGTGCTGGTGTCTCAAAACCTCTGGATTATATCCGGGTAGGAATGCTTGGCTCCTCCCTCTGGGCAGAGCATCTCACAAAGGGATGCTGTAGTTCTTATCAGTCATGCAGTGACATTCAATAGCCTGTTATCAACAGAGGTCCCCTCCCGAGGGAGGAGTGATTGTGGTCACTCAAAGAGAGAGATAAGGCAAGCTGCCCACTTGACAAAAGATAATCTGCCATACAGATGGTAATAGAATGCATCTTGCCTTGCAATCTGGAACAGTATGTGAACAGGGGAAGTTGCTTTTCTTATCTTCTTTTTCTTTTCTATTCCCTGACCACCTCTCCTCACATTCTCGCAGCCATTCCTACTCACCCACATGGAGATTTCCCTGACATTTCCCTGACTTTAGCTGAGGCCAATCCTTCCATCAGACAGACACCACCTCTGGAGGATGAGAGACAATCCTCGCTCCAAGAAACTCCCAAGAGATGCAGGCAGCAAAGGGAGATGGAGGAGAGCAGGGAGGTGGGACTGCACCCAGCTTGCAGGCAAAATGTGAGTCCCCAAAACAACCACGCCTCTCACCAGGTGCTCAGACCTACAATTTCTAATACCAAAGATCTCCTGAGCCGGATCCCTCTCACCTTGTTCTTAGGCAGGAGGAAAAGCTGTTCTGTCCCCCTTGCAAGGCACAGGACAGCAGTGTGGGGGGGCTCTGTTTGCTGGTATCTCCTGGCAGATCCAGCTCAGCCAGAAGCAAGAGACAGGAAACAGGAGAGCTGAGACCTTTCCCTAGGGTTCTCTGAGCAGGCCAAAATCCAAGGAAGCCAATGGAGAGCAAAGAAGACCATGGGTGCTATTGCACCCACAGCAGGTCCCCCAAATGACTCCACTGGAGGCACTAGAAAATCTCCTGGTATAACCCTGACTCCATTTCATAGACCCTGACTTGCCTTTCCACTTCCTTGTCCTCATAAAGAAATGCCTGCTGCAGAAGGATGAAATTATTAGGCTGATTATTTTTCTTCTCTCCCAGAAATACTTTTTTCTTTCCCTTTCTGTCCCAGTGGACCTGCATTCATTTCTCCCTTGGGAACTAAAGACAGGCAGTGGAAAGGGGACAGATTTCAAGAGCTGTCAAGGAACAGAAAGCTATTCTGCCTCTCAGAATGTAAAGCTGAAGGGTCTTTCTTCCTTTTAGAAAAGTGTGAGATTCTAATGGGTTTGAGGGGCTATGAATATGACTTTTCACATCTGCCAAGATAATTATAAGCTTGAATGAATTTCTGAGACCCAAACCCTGCCCAGATAAATCATACCTATCAAGCACTGATTAAAAACATGCTATTCAGAAAGCCTTCAAATTTATCTTCCCTTCCCACCCCACCCCACTATCTCCTGTATCTGTTAGAAATGGGTCTCAATGCTTTACTAAGGAACTGTAGAGAAAACTCTGGTACTTCACCCTTTCTTTGCAGGAGATGTGAAAGAGATGGGAAATTAAGGCAATAGGGATCAAGCAGAATGAAGAGAGATTTGGGCTCAGACTGGGTCTGGTGCTGGGACACAGAAGATGCTGAGAAGCAGGTAAGGTGCAAAACTGAGTTTTGCGTCTGGTTTCAAAGCGTGACACGCACCCATGACCCACTTCCCAAATCAGTATCCCCACAGGGGACAAGCAGGAATCCTAACTCAGAGAAAAACCTGGATGTGCGTGATTTCTTTCAGTTCACTGTGTGTGGGAACGACTCGTGCACCTCAGGTTTTCCTCATTGTTCACATGGAAATAAGCCCACCCCAGTCATTTATGGAATGCACTGAATT